AGAGAGAGAGAGAGAGAGAGAGAGAGAGAGAGAGAGAGAGAGAGAGAGAACCGAAAAAACTACAACGTGAACAAAAATAACATGCATCAGTCAATAGATTGAAGAACCAACCGATAGCAAAGAACCATGATGAAGTGAGGAAGAACGAGGAAGGTGATTTTTGTTTGAGTTAAATGTGAACGCGAGAAGCCAACAACAATGGATTCGATGCTGCAGAGCGCATTTCGAATCTTATGCGTCAAAATTCTTGACCAAATGAAAAATTACAAAATTTTACAAGACAACCCAACCAGAGAAACACTGTGTGATTTCATCATTTGATCTGTGTATATATGTTTTGTTCGCACTCTGTTCGTTCTTCTCGTAATACGTAGTATTGGCCGAGGATCTCATATCGAGAGATATTTATGTTCTTTTTGGCATTTCTTGTACACTTGCCGTTCTTTTTTTCCTTCATTTTTCGTGGTTCTGTTGTAATTGCTTTGGTATTAAATGCAACCAACAGGCAGTGTGAGTGCTTGCGCGTGTGCTCTCCCGCGCGCACATTCATCCGCTCGTTCGTGTATTTGCAAGTGCATAAGATGACGACGACGTCGTCGTCGAAGAAGCAACGAAATGCGATGTACGGTACGTGCAAAGTAAAAAGGTAAACATTGGAGTGAGTGAGGAGAAGGGAAAAAAAATGTCTACCCAGGCATAAATACATTATCCAGATGCTTTTCGTTCTCGCAAAACCTTGTTTATTGTTTGCCTCGTGTGTACGTCTCATATTCATCTCTACTTAAAAATTTTAACACCTCATTATGGCAAAGATATAATATGTGTGGCCGGGATATGATGTGCGGCTCTCATTCTCTATCTCTCTTCCCGATGTGTGTATGTGTATGTGTGTGTTTGCTCGTCCGATGCCGTAACCAAGTGCAGATGCTTGAGCGCATAAAAAGATGCGACGTAGATGCGAGAGCAATCACTTGCAAGCGCGTAACTCATTTGCCCAGAGAACTATTTGGGATGCAGATAGAGACAGAAGAGCAGAGAGAAAGCAAAACCACACACTGATTATTTGATTTTCCCTCAAATGGCTGCTTGAAACGATTTCGGTATTAAATATGCTTCATCGTATCATTACACTGTGCCTCATCATCATATACATTGTTCCACTCCAACGCTCGATCCATCGAGTGTCTTCTTCACATCAGCTTCAACCGAACGAGAGATGGATTCTCAGTTTTTTTTCGTGTCTTCTTTTCTCATCAATATGTTTCCGTTGCTTGTTGAAGTTTGTCTACAATTTATTATGCATCCGTATTTGTTGATGCGCGCTCAAAATGTAAATTGTGCAATGAGTTGCCATTATATGTTTGTGATTGGGCGCGATTCGTCTTCTCGTATCACCGGATTGTATATATAAATGAAAATCACATGCAAATCGCAAACACACACACACACACACTTCATGTGTACCGTATAGATGTGATTGCTTCGTTTTCATTCTTGGGCTTGCGAATACGTTTTAGCTGATGATTTATTCACTTTTTTTCTGTTCAGTTTGGTTCGTAAGACCTCTTATTATTATTCATTCTTTTGTGCCATGACGATGATCGTTTCGTCATTTAATTGCATGGACTGTGTCGAGTTTGTATTTATGGGAAGCTCGAATCCACCTCAGGCAAATGCCATTTGAATATTTCATTGCATTGGTCAAGTGCATGAAAGTTGATATCACTCGTCCGATGATTCTCCCGTATGTGCATCTCTGATATGGCAATCGGTATGAAAATCTGGTCGTTGAGTGAAAAATCGGACGCAATTAACATTTGTCAACTTGTTATGATTATGCTTACCATGCCCACATTTTGAATGGTATGCTCATTAAGCATCCAACATTTGTGTTCTTCAACTCTTTCTCTCGTGGGTCATTTAAAACGATGAGCTATTCATCGCACCGCATTCTTTGACCACTGCCAACAGCAACAAGAACAATAACTCGAAAATCTCTCACGTCAATGCACGTAATCGTGAATTCTTGAGACTCGTTATAAGGCGAAAAGGCTTTAAAGGAGGAATATGAATGTTGGCGATGTGAACCAAAGAAGAGAGCGAGCGACCGAGCAAACGAGTGAGAGAAATTCCTTAAATATCAGCATAAAGAATTTCACCAAATAACGAATAGTAGAACCAAACAAGAATGGGCTGAATAGAAAAGAAAAACAGAACATCAATAGCTGCCACGACCGAAATAAGAAATGCATTTTGGTATTGTTGTTGTTACTTCGTTTTGGCTTTTGAAACGTGTTCTTCGATATCAGATTTATAATTCAAGCGTTCGCCTCTAGCTCTATGACTTTATGATTACGATTGTATTTCTGTGGCCATTTCTCGTCGTCATCGTCGTCATAGTCGTCTTCGATCTCACTCTCTCGTACGTTTTCATTGTTATCTTTTTCAAAATAATATGCCATTCATGAGTGGTGTTGTATGCTTGAGTTCGAGGCACCGCGATTGTTTTGGCCACGGAATGGAAAGAAGGATAAATGATCTAAACAACAACACGATCCAATTTAAACAATAATTCTTGAAGCCCTGTGTGTGTGTGTGTGTGTGTGTGTGTTGCTTCTCTCACTCACGAACCAAGCAATGAACTCTCTGCACAACATTTCGACCCAAAATGAGATGCGCTCACTCTTTTTCTCCCTATCTCTCGCTCTCTGTTGCTCTTTCGTTGTCTGTCCTTTTCACATCGCTGTTCTGCTGTTTTCTGTTCTAAACGTTTCATTTTACATTGTTGCGTGAGTGTTCACGATATTTTGATTACCTTGTTAGGCCCAAGTATGGGCCACACCAATGGATATAAATAACATAAATTTTAAGTGCATATCATACAAACGATTCGAGTCGTTTTATCGATCATGCTCTTATTTCCTCTTCAATGTTTTTGTATGCGCGCACTGTACACTACAATTCTGTGTACTCCGACCAATTTCGAGCGGAAAAGAAATATACTTTTCCCTTGTTTTTGTTGTTGTTGTTCTTGGCTGCACTGTCTTCTTATTTTTCTGTTTTCATCATGCATTGCCAACAACGTATTGTTATGATTGTTTTTATTTTCGTGTCGGTTTGGTTTGTTTTTTTTTTTCGTGTGTAGCTGCATATATGCAATTGTTCACATGTGCTTGTATTCTCTCTCGTGCTCTTCGTGTGTGTGTGTGTTTGTGTTGCATGGCGCGCGGTTTGCAGAATTTTTTTGTTTCCTCTTATTCTTAGCCAGTTACTCCAATTTACATATAATGGAATATGGAAATTTCATATTAGCATATATTGTTTTTCTACCACGAGATCGTCGTCATCGCTTGCCATTTGCTCTGTCTCATTCGCCAGCAACCGTTTTATGGCTTGTGGATGCATACGCTCCACACAGGAATACATGTAATTATTTGCGCGGGACGCCTGGATCATTTTCGTCGACGACGACGTCGTTGTATAACTGCAGCCAACAAACATACACGATTTTTTCTTCTTCTCAGACCGAACAGAAGCTATTTTTTTTTGCAAATTGCAACCCCAACCATATAAAAACTGCTATCCGGTTGGTCACTACACAAAAAAGATCCAAAATTTATTATTCTTCAAACGAAATGTATTCAAACAGGAAAAACTGGCCGAGAAATGCATTTTAAATGGATTTGAAAAAAACAGACGGTTCACTTTTATTTAATAAAATGTTAAAAACATTTATTCTAATTACACCACTGGTTAGGGCACACAAAGAACCATGTGCAATCCCATAGTTAGTTGAACGTATTTTTTTTCAGTTAGAAAATTTCTTCAACAAAATCAAAATTGAAATATTACCGCATCGTGCAATCAAGATCATTCGAAAGTATGCATTTCAATGTTGAAAAATTTCCAAAATCAAGCCAATAGTAGGAATGTTCACCAAAAGTGCAATTTTCGGATTTATATGTAAATTATAATTCGCAACTCCGATGGATATGCGCTCGGCTCGGTTGGGGTGATCGATTTAATGAAAAAATCGCATTGCCCCGAGCCAT